TCGTGAAGCGGATTCGTCGTAATGTGGGGTTAATCGTTAAGCGGGGCACAACTGTAATTTTAATGAACAGTTATCAGTTTCAGATAGTGCTTCTCAACGATGAATCCCCAGATGTTCCTGGACTAAAACTCCCAGAAGCCTTCATCACTAGCTGTGTCGGCCAGGATTTCTGGAAGTTGTAGAACATTTGAGGACTCAAGGTTGGGAATCACTGGTTTAAGACATCTGCAGACACCACTGTTTTCTCTGTGAACAGGAGCAGCACACACCTTGACTCTGGTTTCTGGTTCCTTTTTGCCTACATTCCTGCTAGCCCAGCTCCCTATGAATGCAGGAAATCTTCACACACTACTATTCTCATCAGACCCAGTTCAGACACAAATGTAAATCACAGCTGCAGCAACAGTTAGATTTAAAACAAAATGTTACGTTTCAACCGGTTCATATAAACCTCTAGTCTGGGCTCCACACAGAGCTATCCAGGGTGCTGCCTGGATTTTTAAGGAATTTGCCTAGCTTTTGACAAGTTCCTTACTTTTGGTGTAACCTGTGATTCCCCGAGTGGTGGTCTGTGGAGTCACACTATTGGGAATGTGTCTGTGTAGAACAAGACTTCAGCACCTTCCGGAGATGAAGTCTCTCCCTCTACTATTTTAGCAAAATCCCTACCCACCTTTTCCACCGCACATAAATAGTGCACCCTAGCAATCCACCAGAAAAGGGTAGACACTGTGGGAAGGGTGATGGAACATGTGGCTTCACAGATGACCACTTGAAGAACCATAGTTACATCAAAGGTATCAGATGACCACTTAAAGAACCACAGTTACATCAAAGGTAACTTATCATTCTTCTTTGTGGTCTCTCTAGATCACGCTATTTGGAAAATAAAAGCTGATGAACCGGAGGTAGGAGTGTCACCACAATAAAGACAAAAGGAAAGGCCCAACCTGCCAAATCTGGCATCTTGACAAGAAGTCAGGCCCAGAGGGTCATGCCTGATAAACTTGAAGGCTGCAACAAAGAATCAGAGGTAGAGTAAGACGCCATCAATTGTGGAGTCAGGAAATCTGTTGACTGTGTTTGTGTTTTTTGTAAGCAGCAGGCATATAGGTATTGAATAGTAGAGTCAAAGATCACAGGATCATAGAATAATTGAGTTGGATGGGGCCCATAAGGCCATCAAGTCCAGCCCCCTGCAGGAATACAAATCAAAGCAGATCTGACAGAGGATTGTTCAATTTTTGCTTGAATGCCTCCAGCTTTTTTGCTTGAATGCCTCCTCTTCTGAGGTAATGGGTTCCATTGTCATATGGCTCTAGCAGTTAAGATGTTTTTCCCGATATTCAGCCTTAAATTGCCCATTGTTACGTGTCCTGTACTCTAGGATGATCGAGAACAGATCCTGCCCCTCCTCTGTATAACTATCTTCCAATTATTTGGAAAAATGCTATGCTATATCTCCTCAGTCTTTTTTTCTCAAGGCTAATCCTGCCCAGTTCTTTCACTCTTTCCTCACAGGGCTTGGTTTCCAGCCACTTGATCATCCTTGTTGCCTCCTCTGAACTTGCTCCAGTTTGTTGGCATCCTTCTTAAAGTGTGGTGTCTGCTAGGGGGTGCTAGTCATGTGTGATGAAGGGGATGGGCAGGGGTCCAGCATCCTTCTTAAAGTGTGGTGTCCAGAATGCTTAGGGAGGATAAGGGAGGTGGTATGGAGAGGCTGGTTTTGTGAACATAAAGTTCTTGCCAGTTGGGCAAAGCTGAAAGATAAGGACCTTTCTGAGGCAAAAAAAGACAGTGAGTGTGACAATCTTTTTTTTGGGGGGGGTGCGATACTGCCACCACATGAAGGATACCTTAAAAAGAGAGTTTCAGAAGCCATATGGCAAGACCCGCTGCAGGGTAGAGAGAGAAAATACACTAGATAACTAAAGAACAAACTGAGAGAACAACCCAGGAGAAATAAAAGGAGAATATGAGGACAGAATAGAATAAGGAGGGAGAAAGGAAGGAGAACACATAAACACATGGTAGTGCAGCAAATATTATGGCCTGTGACCAGTCTGGCAAACAGAAAGGAACTGAAGGCAGTCTGCTAGGGGGTGCTATTCATGTGTGATGAAGGGGATGGGCAGGAGTCCAGGCAAAATGATAGAGGGAGGGAGCTCAGCTCTGGAAGATTCAGAAGACTGGTTCTGCACAGTTGCAAACTCAATAGTGCGATCCACAGAAACCATAAAGAAGAAACTGGAAACTAAATGTTCCTTAACTTTACTTGTCTTTCCAGAACCCTAAACTTTTCCCTAGCATTTCTTTTGGTGCTGATATCCTGTCTGATCAAGACAAAGACCTGTGACAGACCACTTCCCTTCCTATCATGTTGATCCCAGATCAGCATGCAATTCCACACTATCTCCAAAATAAGGTGCTATAGTTTAATGTCAGTTTTCTAACGAGAACAGTACAGTTTCAACACGGTTTTAAATCCTGGCAAGAAAAGTAACATCAAACCATAGTTCTCCATTTTGCACATAAAAGAAGAACCTTGTTTTGTGCACTATAACTTCCACGCATTTCAATTTCCAACTTTCATTTTATGTATTTTCCCACCAAGTGACCATTAAACTATACTCTTATTTTAGCGCTTCCAGACAAAGCTAATTTCAGCTCCACATTTAAAAACATTAATAGCCTTAAATATAGCCAACAGTTATGCATGATTGCACTTTCATGTTTTCAAACACTGTAAGTCAAGAATAAGAACATTGAGAAAATTAAGGTTTTCCAGTCCAGGGGAAAAGCAGTTATAACCATGCATCTTTCTATATTGGATTCAGCTGGAAACATAAAGCTTCCTCCCCTTCGCCATTTTCTTGCTCTTGATTTCCCCCACTTTGCCCAGGATGCTGCTTTTTGCTCCACAATATTGAGTGAACTGCAAGAGTGGGTAAGATTAAAAAGCAGAAAAGGTCAAGTGGTTGATGTGGATGGGCAATCTTCCCTACTACCAGAGCCTCACTCTGATTCTGAAAAAAAATTACATTTGATTGCTTTTACCTGTGTAGGAAAAAGGTAAGAGTTTATAATGGAACTCATAACATCATGATTATTTTAGTCTTAAACACGGGTTCTACACATTGCTTCTGGATTTGTAGCTGCTTAAGCATGAAGAAATGTTACCTTTATATTACATTATATTTGGATGTTATTGTAGGTATGAACCCTTAGATAAAAGTGTTCCTTTTGTCTTACAAAAGATGTACTTTCAAAATCACATTTACACAAATTGATCAGGATGGCTAAAAAGTGTCTGAAGAGTAAATATTTCCCACTCATTCTGTATACGGAATTCAGAATGCAAACGTAGTTTGCGAGGACCAGTCAGAAAAACAAAACAAGCTATTGTGCTAAGGACTGATGTAAACTCTTGTTAAAATAAACATATTTTCTTTTTCAGGATGCACTAATTCTAAATGTAGGATCAGTGTCTCTTCTAGGGAAGCTTTTACTCTTCTTCTAAGTAAAACAAGAAAACAATGTGATGTTCTGTACGGAACAACCATATCCCTTCAAGAGTCAATGTGGTGCAGTGGATAGAGTGCTGGACTAAGATCTGGATTTGAATCCCCACTTTTAAAAAAACACTTTTTTAAAAGTCCCCATTTTTTTAAAAAAAACACTCCTTAAATATCTCACAGTATTCAAAAATGTTATTAAGAGTGCCGGTATGCCAGCTGCAAAGAGTAAATATTTCCCACTCATTCTGTATACGGAATTCAGAATGCAAACGTAGTTTGCGAGGACCAGTCAGAAAAACAAAACAAGCTATTGTGCTAAGGACTGATGTAAACTCTTGTTAAAATAAACATATTTTCTTTTTCAGGATGCACTAATTCTAAATGTAGGATCAGTGTCTCTTCTAGGGAAGCTTTTACTCTTCTTCTAAGTAAAACAAGAAAACAATGTGATGTTCTGTACAGAACAACCATATCCCTTCAAGAGTCAGTGTGGTGCAGTGGATAGAGTGCTGGACTAAGATCTGGATTTGAATCCCCACTAGCGCATTTTTAAAAAAAAAACACTCCTTAAATATCTCACAGTATTCAAAAATGTTATTAAGAGTGCCGGTATGCCAGCTGCAACTTGATGGCACACAAAACAAATGGAATCCCTCTTTCCATTTTTATCAATATAGATTAGCATCCCTACCTTACCTAACAATGAAAAGGAAGGGCAAAACATTCTTTTAATCTTTTCTTTCAGTGGGATTGCAAGTATGGCAGGATGCGAACAGTTATTTACAGGTAACTTCAAAGTACACCTGGAATGCCTAGCATTTAGTAGTTAGAAAGGAAAAATTTGGCAGGTGCAGCTTTCCACATCCCTCCCATGATAAGCTGTGCCTATCCACATTCCTGCTTCTCCCCAGTTACCTATTAACTGGTAGAGGAGCCTTGCTCTCTTCTGCAAGGTGTCCTCACAATAACAGAAGGTTGGAAAACCCCATCATACGCGTCTGCCAGCAGGGGCAGGTAGCCAGATCCAGGTAGCCAGATCCGTAGATCCCTTCCAGAAGTCTCCCTATATTCGGATCACTGGTGCTTCTCACTCAGAATGGTTTTGCACTAACTGGCAGCCAAGCTGCTCCCAAGTTTTCAGGAAAGGGTTTTAACCTGGATATTTTATTTTTTATTTTAATTTATTATGATTATTATTTTGCATGCCACCCAGGAGCATCCCCTCTGAGCAAGGCAGCCTCTTTCCCTGCGACTGTTTCAACCACCAGCCTCTCAGGCTGAAACTAGGCTGCTGGGTGCCATCTGCTTCCTACAATACAAGGAGGAAAAGGCGTCCCCTTCTGGATTTCTGCCCGGGGCTGGCGCGAGCACGTGTGAATGCGTCCGTACCCGGCGGGAGGAAACTTTTTGAAAATTTCCTCCCGGCGCTGTCCTTTCCCCGACCCGCCAAGGGTGTCCTCCCCGCTGAGCTCTCCCACTCACCCTCAGACTGAGGCACCATCCCAATGGTCCCTCCGGTGTTGATCACCAGCACGCGGACTTGGGCCACGGTTCCGCAAACAACCCCCATCTCCACGGCCGGAGCGGGCTGGGTGGACCGCAGGGCTCGGCTCAGCAGGCTGCCGCCGCGGTTGTTCTTCGTTTGCTTGGCGGATTCTGCCATGACGGCTCCCAGACCAGTGTACTCGCAAACAGTAACTCGACCACGTCTGGATGGAGACTACCGGAGTCGGACAACGTGGGAATCCATATACCGGCTCTTAGCGCCGCCCCTTCCCGGAATAGCGGGCTCTCATTGGCTGCCGTCTAGACCGGCCTCCCACGGAGGGGGCGAAGAGGGACGGCGCGGTCCTCTTCGTCCTCTAGGCAGGTTGTTTTAGTCGCCCTGAGGCGACGGGATAGGATGTGCCTTGGTCTGCTCCGCTGGGAAAGGCCAGCGGCTTCAACACCTCCTCTCTTGAGGGGTCTTATGTGTACTTTATCCGTCCGCCATCCTGCGTGGCAAAAAGGAAACTAAGTGAAAGTGACCTGTTCACATTTTCATCTCAGTCTCTTTCTGAGGGCACGTTTCCGCTCCTTTTCTAAAAGGCGCCTGACAGAAAAGGCTGAGGGAAATGACAACAGATTAGCTGCTCATTCGCCTCTTTGTTCACTGGCAGGCAGAAGGTTTCACAGACTGGCAGGCAGGGAGGCGGAGAGAGAGAGAGAGAATTTGGTGGGAAAAAGGAGAAGAAACCTGCTTGGTGCAAAAATATTCACATTTTGAATAGTGCCCACCCAGATGAAGGCAATAACATCAAAAACCCCTCAGTTCAATTACTGCTATGAGACACCCTCCTCTAATCTGGGTTTGCCAGCAACTGGTATTCAAGAGTCCATCCTGCCTTCGAAGATGGGAGCCGTCAGATGGTCAAGACATAACCGCCTTTTAATTAGTAGACTTCTTCTTCCCCAGTTTCTCTAATGCCATGGTAAAACTGATGCTTTAAGAAAGGGGCAGAAGTGTATGAAGAAAGTTGTCCAGACATTTTTATTAATGACAATTCTTTAAAAAGCAAAACAACGAACAAACCCAAACCCAGGACCCTTTTTAAAGATGAATGACAGATTGGTGGTCATAGATTTTACCACGAATTTTCAGCTCCTTCTTGTTAGATTGTAAGAAAATATTTACCACAGCTTCAGTCCAAAAAGGGGATGGGGAAATGCCGCCACTCCCTTTCTCTGAAATAGATGCCTCACTATGCCTAATGGTAGTGTCAGTCCTGTGAGGTGGAATTTTTAAACTTTCCCACAGAGTGATGATGTTTGTTGCTATGTTAATAATTTTTTTCTATGAAATGATGTTGATGTTTATTCCTCACCAATTAAAGCATTTTGTGAAACACATGGACCTTCCTCTAAGGAGACAGTAACCTTGCAAACACGGCATCATGCTAAAATTAGCACACAGACAGAAAATTGCTTCTATCAAACTCAATAATATATTTGGTATTTTGAAAGGCTCTGCAAGTGATTTTAAAATTCAAGAAGGTCATTTAATAATATTTCCATCACTGTTTTTTTAATGTTTTTTTGTTATTTTGGGGGGAGACTTATGCACATCTGTTCAGCTGCTCCTGTTATTCTATCTTCCAAAATAAATAATATTTCTTCCCATCTTTTTATTCTGTTTCTTGATGCCTGTATGGAACATACACAGCTTAGCTTTCCCCCACATTATTACAATTACACTTCCTGCACATATGCAACATTAACTCCACCAACTGTTCTGCCTTCCATCTAATTTTTTCAAATGTTGTCTACATTGATCATTTGTACAATACTATCTTCTGAATTATTCACTCAGACTATTTTCAAAAAAAGCCGACAAGCTTGACAACAAGACTTCTGTCCTGCACAATCAATATATTACTTTGTTTTCAACTGTTTTTAGTATTTATGTCTTTAATTTGAGGTCAACTTAATCTTTCTTTACCTTATCACTTACTTTCTATGTCTTTCACCTAATGGGCTAGCTTTTTCCAATGTCCTTCATACAAATACACATATACTGTATTGCCTTCTCTTCCTCTTTATTGGGTTTTTTTACTTATCTTTTAAATTGGCACAGACACTCTTCTGCATTTCAACAACGTATTTAGAAAACAAATCTAAATTTTAAAGATACTTTTCTGTTGGTTCCATTAAACATGCTTTAAATTGGGGTGCAGGCTGCATAAATACTGTGTTCTTAGTTCTATGGGACTATTTTGCAAACGAACACTGAAAGAACAATAAATCCATCCTCCAGCAATAATTTGCTATTTTTCTAATGTCTATATTTATTATTTGGATGATACAAGTTTATCAGATAGTCTGTTCACTCAGACTACTTTCAAACATGAAGGATGTTTGCAGATAAACTCTTTGGGAACACAAAGTCTGACTCTGTGTGTGTGTGTGTGTGTGTGTGTTTTGTTTTGTTTGTTATGTGTTGTCATGTTGCTCCTATCTATGGTAACCCAATGAACAAGTGACCTCCAAAATGTCCCGTTATTAACAACCCTGCACAGCTCTTGCATAATCAAGGTGGTGACTTTCTTTATGGAGTCAATCTAACTCATAATTTTCCTGCTACCTTCAACTTTTCCTAGGATTATTGTCTTGTTTTTTCATGATGTGCTTCAAGTATGACAGCCTCAGTTTTGTGATTTTTGCTTCAAGAGATAGTTCAAGTTTTTAATCTAAGACTCACTTATTCATGTTTCTGGCAGTCCAGAGTATCCACTAAGCTCTTTTCCAGCACCATATTTCAAACAAATTATTTTCCTGTCGACTTTCTTCACTATCTAGCTTTCACATGCATACATACAAAATAACCTGAAATACAAGAGCATGAATGACCTTGTCCTCCAATGAGGACAATAAGATGTATCCAATGATACATCCTTATATTTGATTATCTTTTCTAATTCCTTTATGGCTGCCCTTCCAAATCTCAGAATTCTTCTGAGTTCATGGCTGCAGTCGTCAATTAGATTGATGATTCAAATGAGTTATGGATTGCTTAGTGAGCCAGGTAGTAGTAGTAGTAGTAATATTTGTTGTTGTTGTTGTTGTTGTCGTCATAGTGCTAGTGCTATTTGGTATAGTGCTGTATTAGATAGCAGGATTTTTTGAAAGCAGGTAGAGCGTTCACATATGAAGAAATGGTTCCAAAGAAATTATTCCACATCTGTCCCCAAATAAACAAATGTCTGGCTGAAAAGCAGAAAAACCCACTCCCCTGCTATATTGCTCCACACATGCATATAACTTGTGTAAACATTAAAATTTAAGGGTTTTTTTTAAATCAAACTCGGTACAACAGCGGATTTTATTTCAGGAGGATGAAGCCTCAAGTCATCACCACTTTTAAAAGAGACCTTCAATACACACAGTTTTGTCTTCCTCATTCATCTATCTGAAGAGTGCAGAATTAAGGAGCAACCTCTAAGGCACTGATGGAATATTTTAACCATTTAACCATATTGACAAAAGACTCTCTCTTCCCAAGAAATGAATGCTACACAGCTGAAGGACCTCCAATCTTCAGAAAACAATTAATGGAGGAGGGAGAAAGTACTTTGAACTACAGTATACAGATTTTGAGCCAATAAATATAGGGGAGTTTCCTAGATACTTAGAAGTAGCAGCATTACTGAGCACAGTAGATTTTGGACCTACAGAGTTCTGTTTTAAAGACACATCTGCAACTTAATCATAAGAAAGTTACTTAAAATTAAGCCCCACTGCCTTTTGCCTGCTGCTTTGCCAGAGTGTTGATAGTTGAAGCCATTATGACAGAATACTCTCTCTGGCCTTCCAATCTCTCCATGTTTACTCCAAAGTAAGTGCTCCAGAATTCAGTAGTGCTTCCTTCCTGATTTTGGGCTTGTTCTGCTGCTGGAGCCTTGCATCTTTGTACTCCAGAGTCCCACAGAATTCTGTTGGGATTCCACATGAGTAAACAACCCTCAGATATTCCTCACAATTTGGCTACAGTAACTTGTGGTTTCAGGCTCCTGAACCTTAGGCTCTTGGGGAGAGGGCAAGATCTCCTGGCTTAGAAGCAAGGGAGAAAGTTGCTATATTGATTTGTTTTCCTCCCAAGAATGAGCAGGCTGTGTACATCTGCAAATATTTTCCAGTCTCTTGGGGAAAGAGGGCACAGGAATGTGAGCAACTGAAATGCAGATTAATAACTCCTCCAAGAAGGAAGGAAGAAAAGAAGAATCTGCTTGGAACCCTGCTGAAAAACCAGCTACAGTATTTGTGTTAATTAGAAACTGATCATTTAGCGCAGGTTTGGATTTCCCAGAGAAAACTTTCCTAAGTAGTATTTCTTCCACCTTGGAAGGTGGAGTACAAGGTCACAGATACTACTGTTTGTGTGCCTTCTAGGTCTTCTCACATCAGCAATCCCAGTTAATAAATACCATTTACTTTCTACTTTTGCAGTGCCTTTATTTACATGTTTTGTCAACAGCAGAGGGCAGCAAAACTAAGAAGCTTGTAGAAAGTTATTGTGAAGAAAATATTCTAGTTAGAAAATCTAATCTATGATTGGAATTAACATTTATGCAGTTTAGAAGTATCCAGGAAATTACTTATAATAAATCTTTTCTCCAATATTGAATGTATAACTGAGTTACGTTATGTTATGATTATATATTAACAAGAGAAAGGTAAAGGTTCCCCTTGACATTTAGTCCAGCCGTGTCCGACTCTAGGGCATAGTGCTCATCCCTGTCTCCAAGCCATAGAGCCAGCGTTTGTCCGTAGACAGTTTCTGTGGTCATGTGGCCAGCGCGACTAGACACGGAACACCGTTACCTTCCCACCGTGATGGCATCTATTTACTCGCATTTACATGCTTTCAAACTGCTAGGTTGACATTAGCTGGGACAAGCAACAGGAGCTCACTACATCACATGGATTCGATCTTACAACTGCTGATCTTCTGACCTTGCAGCACAGAGGCTTCTGCGGTTTAACCCACAGCGCCACCACATCCCCTAACAAGACAAAACTTCATTCCTATTACTCTGTAGCTGTGATTTACCTTTAAATTTACTTTTACAGTTTTGGGACATGCTCATAGTCTTAACCAATCCAAATAAAAGTATATCTGACAGATGGTCGTTTAATATTCTTTTGAGTGCCTCCAGCGTTGGAGCACTCACCACTTCCCAAGGGAATTGATTCTGTCGTTGTGCTGTTC